CGGGACATTCCCCCCCCTCAGCAGCTCTGTGAGTGGTACGCGCAGCGTCAGCGTGGTGGGGGTTTTGGTCCGTGCACCTACGTCCTTCGCTCCGGCGACCGCGCGGGTGAGCAGTGTGGGGGTGCCCACCCTACCCAGCGCTGCTTTGGCCGCCTGACGGACGCTTGGCGTCAGCAGTTCCCGGAGGCCAGTGAGATCCCCCGCTGGGGAGAGCTTTCTAGGGCAGGCGTAGCTATCTATGATCTTGACTTTGATGCTATCCTTGCTGCCATGTATGCTGTGACTATTAGTGATGAGGGTGACTGTTACTGGTGTTTCCCGCCCGACCCGGGCATTGGTACTGCTGCTCTAGGTGCTGGTGAGGCTGCTGCTCTAGGTGCCATTGCGTCTGCGCCCTCAGGTGCTGGTGAGTCTGCGCTCTCAGGTACCACGTTGGCTTTGGCCTCCCTCACCTTCACACTTGACTCAGGGGCTTCTCGCTCCTTCTTTCAAGACCGCACCATCCTCACGCCGCTTGGTCGGCCGGTTCCAGTCTTCTTGGCAGAACCCTCTGGGGGTCCTGTCCTCTCTCACTTCTCCACTGTCCTCCCGTGTCCGGCTGCCCCCTCTGGCACCTTGTCTGGTCTTTACCTCCCCTCGTTCTCTACGAACTTGGTGAGTGGTGCTGCCTGCAGGATACGGGGGTTCACCAGTTTACTCCTGCGAGTCAGCGGGTGACCCACTGCTCGGACGCTCGCACAGGTCGGCACCTGGCCACGTTTACGCGTCGGCCGGGGTCGAGCCTCTACACACTGACCACTAGGTCTCCTCCTGTCCCTGCGTCTAGCTAGGTAGCTGCGTCGGGTCAGGTGTTTGCTGCAGCGTCCAGGTCTGGTCCTGAGTCTGCCCCCTGCTCGTGTTGCCTCCTGTCTCACGAGACTCTCCTCTGGCACCACCGTCTTGGTCACCCCTCCCTGCCTCGTCTCCGAGGCATGGCTTCCCGTGTCCTTGTCTCTGGTCTCCCCCGGTCCCTCCCTCCCCTTCCTCCAGGGCCTGGTCCATCCAGTGTTCCCTGTGTCGAGGGGCGGCTCCGGGCTGCCCCTCACTCCTCTCAGTTTCCCCCGAAAGAGGCCCCGCTGCAGACGCTTCACATGGACGTGTGGGGCCCAGCCCGCGTCCGTGGACAGGTTCACGAGCGCTACTTCGTGCTGGTGGTTGACGACTAATCGCGTTACACCTCAGTCTTCCCCTTGCGCAGCAAGGGTGATGTCACTGAGGTGTTGATCGACTGGATCCGCGCAGTTCGTCTCCAGCTCAGGAGGAGCTTTCGGCTCGGACTTTCCTGTTCTGCGTCTGCACTCTGACCGAGGCGGAGAGTTCTCCTCTGGCCTTCTGCGAGCCTTCTTCCGTGCGCGAGGCATCCGCCGGACCTTTACGCTTCCGGACTCTCCACAGCAAAATGGGATTGCTGAGCGCCGCATTGGCATGGTCATGGACGTCGCTCGTACGTCCATGATGCATGCGGCTGCCCCCCATTTTCTGTGGCCGTTTGCGGTTCGGTACGCGGCGCATCAGATCAACCTACACCCCAGGGTTTCCATGCCGGAGACCTCCCCAGCTGTGCTGTGGACGGGGAAGGTAGGCGATGCGTCGGCGTTCCGTGTCTGGGGATCTCGGGCGTTTGTCCGCGACTTGTCTGCGGACAAACTGTCCCCTCGTGCTGCTCCTTGTGTCTTCCTTGGCTTCCCCCCTGACGCACCAGGGTGGCAGTTCTACCACCCCTCCTCTCGTCGTGTTCTGTTCTCCCAGGACGTCACGTTTGACAAGTCGGTCCCCTACTACCGTCTCTTCCCCTACCGCACTCCTTCCCTCCCCCCGCCGCCGCACTTCCTTGTGCCAGGTCCCCCCCAGGTAGACCCCCTCCCCCCTCAGGGTCCTGCCCCTTCAGGTGTGTCCCAGGTAGACGCAGTCGAGCCGGTCGAGGTTGCTGGTGACTCTGGTACTGCTGCGGGTGCTGAGCTTGGGGGTGCTGACTCTGGGGTTGCTGCGCGAGTGGGTGCTGAGCGTGGGGGTACTGAGCCTGGAGGTGCTACGACTGGGGGTGCTGACCCTTGGGGTCCTTCGCATGGGGGTGCTGCGTCTGGAGCTACTGAGCATGGGGGTGTTGCGTCTAGAGCAGCTGAGCCTGGGGGTACTGAGTCTGGAGCTGCTGAGCCTGGGGGTGCGGAGCCCGCGGCCGCTGGACCTGCTGGTGTGGCGTCTGGCGCGACTGGGCCTGGTGGTTCTCCGGGTGCTTCGTCTCAATGGGAGCCACTCTCTCCACAGGAGCTGCGCGAGTGGTTTGCCCGGCGCTGGAGGCGTACTGCTGGAGCTGGTGCTTCTATGGCTGCTGAGGGTGCTGGTGCCGCGGGTCTCGGAGGTGCTAGCCCTGGGAGTGCTGGGCCTGCGAGTGCGACTGGAGTCGGAGCTGCTGAGGGTGTTGGCGCTGAGGCTACTGCTGTCAGTCCTAGCGGCGGTCCAGCTGTGGGTGCTGCTGGTGCTGCTGGTACTGCTGGAGGTACTGGAGCTGGAGGTGTTGTTGGCGCTAATGCTGCCATTGGGGGTGCTGGTGCTCTCCCTGCTGTGTCTGGAGTCGCCGCGCGGCCTCGGCCGTACTTTGTTCCGCTCCTTCAGCAGGTTCTTGGTCTTCCTCCTCCCTTAGAGTGTCCACCGCCTGTCCTGTCACAGTCACAGTTACGGCCGGCCTTCCCACTGCCTGCTCCTTCTCCCTACACTGGTCCTACTGGAGGTCTTACTGATCCTCGTGAGCCTGCGTCTCGTCCTGCGTTGCCGGTTCGTACTGCTCGCGCTAGTGGTCGCGGTTCGCGTCAGCGTCCTCCTCCTGTCCTTGGCACGCACCGGATGTCTCTGCGTCTGTCCACTGCTCCTCAGCGTGCTCCTTTGCCTTCTCCTCCTGAGTCCTCTCTTCCTGCCCTTGCCGACCCGGAGTTGGACTCTCTTCGTGCTGCCAGTCCTACTGTCACGCATCTCCTTGCTACTGTCGTCACTGACCCCTCTTTTGAGTCCATTGCTGCGTCTGCTCTTGTTGCTGAGCTCGTCGATTTTGCTGCTCGCCATCGTCTAGACTACACTGCTAGTCTTATTGCTGAGTCTGCGTCTGTCTGTCCTCCGTCCGTCGGGGGTGAGTGTGCTCTTGGCACGGACGTCCTTGAGGACAGGCAGGAGGAGTTCCTGTGTCTGGCTGCTGCTTCACCTCATCTCGTGTCCGTACTGCTTACCCTTGAGGGAGACCCGGATGCACTTGACATCCCGACTCCGCGCTCTTATGCGGAGGCCGTAGAGGGTCCCTACTCCTCTCAGTGGCAGGCAGCTATGGATGCAGAGATGGCTTCCTAGAAGTCCACAGGCACCTACATTGACGCGGTTCCCCCACCTGGGGCGAACATCGTCAGTGGCATGTGGATCTTCAGGGTGAAGCGGCCGCCGGGCTCTCCGCCTGTCTTCAAGGCGCGGTACGTGGCTCGTGGCTTGCAGATCTCCTGGGACAGAGCACGCCGCACCATTACCCTGACTCAGTCACAAATGGTGCAGCAGGTCCTTCAGCGCTTCGGCTTCACGTACTCCTCGCCTCAGGCCACTCCTCTGCCTACTCGCCACTCGCTCTCAGCTCTGCCTTCGGATGAGTCCGTAGAGTTGAGTGGCCCGTACCCAGAGTTTGTTGGCTGCCTTATGCACTTGATGACCTGCACACGACCTGACCTTGCATACCCTCTTAGCATTCTTGCACGCTATGTTGCTCCTAGGAGACACCGACCAGAGCACATGGCTGCAGCGAAGAGGGTGTTGCGCTACTTGTGCAGTACGTCGGGCATGGGGCTTCCGTCATATTCGGGATAAAACGCCGGACGTAATTCACAAATCCGAGAAAACTCTGGAGTTCCGTCACGTTCGTCGGAGACTTCCACTCTTGTATGGTCTTAATTTTTGCCGGGTCGATTTTAATGCCGTCGCGCGAGATTACGTGCCCCAAAAACTCCAACTCGTGCTTAAAAAACTCGCACTTAGAGCCCTTGGTGATGAGTCGGTTTTCCTGTAGCCTTTTAAAGACTACCTCCAGGTCTCGGAGGTGTTGCTCCCGTGTCTTGCTAAAAATGAGGATATCGTCTAAGTAGACGATGACACACCGATCTAGAAGATCCCGAAAAACCCTGTTCATGGTCACTTGAAAGGTCGAAGGCGCGTTCGTGAGGCCGAAAGGCATCACTGTAAATTCGTAACTCCCGTAGCGTGTGCAAAATGCAGTCTTGTGACAGTCGTCGGCGAAGACTCCGATCTGGTGGTAACCGGCACGTAAGTCAATCTTCGAGAAATAGCGAGCGCCGCGAAGTTGGTCGAGAAGGTTGTTGGTGAGGAAAGTAGAACGAGAATGGAATGACTATGGAATGAAAGTGATACAAATATGCAACCCTAGAAATGTGGACCCCATATGGGCTACCCCACTTAAGCCTAGACAACATTATAATTTGACACACCCCCATAGGCAAAGTGGGGGAGAACAAGGGGTCACAAGACCAGTCAAGCAAAGCAAAGCAAGCTAAGGGTGGATCACAACGTCACCACACAAGAGCAAGGCCAGAAGGCCAGTTCACATGCATGATCATATATATAAAGGTTAACAACCAAGTGCAGGTATAGAAACAGTACAGTACAAACAAGGTCAAGAAGTGAGCAAGAGAGGCCAAGTAGGCACAAGACCTAGCATAGCACAGAAGCGCTGATGATCACAAGGCAGAAGGGCCTTGGTAAAGATATCAGCAGTGCTGGCCTCAGAGGCCACGTACGCAAGCCGCAACTGTAGTCAACTATGTGCACGTGTGTTTCTTCTGCAGCTCCGACTTCACGTGGGCGAGTCCAGCAGTGTCACCAGTGGCAAAGACCAAGTCGTCGACGTACACGAGGCTATGTGCAGCAGCACCCGAAGAGTGGTCATCTTCGGGGTGGGAGAGAAGGTATGAAAGTAGTCAAATCCCTGCCGCTGACTGAAGCCTCGAGCCACGTAACGCGCCTTGAAGACAGGCGGAGAACTTGGCGGCCGCTTCACCCTGAAAATCCACATGCCACTGACGATGTTCGCCCCAGGTGGGGGAACCTCGTCGACGTAGGTGCCTGTGGACTTCCAGGAAGCCATCTTTGCGTCCATGGCTGACTGCCACTTGTGAGGAGTAGGGACCCTCGATCGCCTCAGCGTACGATCGAGGAGTCGGGATGTCAGGTGCATCCGGGTCTCCCTCAGGGGCAATCAGCGTGGACACGAGATGAGGCAAAGCAGCAGCAAAACACTGGAACTCCTCCTGCCTGTCCTCAATGACGTCCGTGCTAAGAGCACACCCATCCCCGACGGACGGAGGACAGATCGACTCGGACTCAGCAACAAGACTAGTGGCGTAGTCTAGACGATAGCGAGCAGCGAAGTCGACAAGCTCAGCCACTAAGGCAGACGCAGCAGTGGACTCAAAGGAAGGGTCAGTGACAACAGTGCCCAGGAGACGCGTGAGAGTAGGACTGGCAGCACGAAGAGAGTCAGACTCAGGGTCAGGAAGGACAAGAAGAGAGGACTCTGGAGGAGACGGCAATGGGACACGAAGGGGAGTAGTGGAAGGACGTAGTGCCATATGGTGTGTGCCCGGAACCGCAGGAGGACGCGGACGCGGAACACGACGACTAGTGCGAGCAGTGCAAACCGGCGACGCAGGACGAGACGCAGGCTCACGACGCTCAGCAAGACCTCCAGTAGGACCAGTGTAGGGAGAAGGAGCAGGTAGGGGGGAGGCGGGCTGTGACTGTGACCGCGACTGGACAGGCTGTGGACACTCTAAGGGAGGAGCAGGACAAGTAGAGAGCGGGAGACCAAGAACCTGCTCAAGGAGCGGAACGAAGTACGGCCTCGGCCGCACAGCGCCTCCAGAACCAGAAGGGACAGCACCAGTACCCCTAGCGGCAGTACTAGCGCCAGCAGCACCTCCAGCTCCAACAGCGCCAACTCCAGCACCCTCAGAAGCACCAGCGCTAGCAGAACCACCAGCGCCAACACCCCCAGCAGCTCTAGCTCCAGCAGCTCCAGCAGCACGAACTCCAGCAGGACCGTCAGCTCCAGCACCACCAGCAGCTCCAGCAGTACCTCTAGCAGGACTAACTCCAGCAGCCCCAGCAGCACCCCCAGTCCCAGCAGCTCCAGTACCGCCAGTAAGAGCACCTCCAGGACCAGCAGCAACAGTAGTACCTCCAGCTCCAGCAGCACGGCTCCAGCGGCGGGCAAACCACTCGCGCAGATCCTGCGGAGAGAGTAGCTCCCGCCTTGACGAAGCAGACCCAGCACCCCCAGGCTCCGCATCTCCAGGCTCCGCACCCCCACGCTCAGCACCCCCAGGCTCAGCACCCCCAGACGCGGCACCTGCAGGCTCAGCAACCCTAGACTCAGCACTCCCAGGCTCCGCACCCCCAGGCTCAGCACCCCCAGACCCAGCACCCGCAGGCTCAGCACCCCTAGTAGCACCAGAGTCAACAGCTACCTCAACAGGCTCGACTGCGTCTACCTGGGACACACCTGAGGGGGCATGACCCTGAGGGGGGAGAGGGTCTACCGGGGGAGGACCTGGCGCAAGGAAGAGCGGCGGCGGGGGGAGGGGCGCAGTGCGGTAGGGGAAGAGATGGTAGTAAGGCACCGACTCGTCAAACGTGACGTCCTGAGAGGACAGAACACGACGCGAGGTGGGGTGGTAAAACTGCCAACCAGGCGCGTCAGGGGGGAAGCCAAGGAAGACGCAGGGAACAACACGGGGGGATAGCTTGTCCACAGACAAGTCGTGGACAAACGCCCGAGATCCCCAGACCCGAAACGCAGATGCATCGCCAACCTTCCCCGTCCACCGCAAGGTGGGGGAGGTCTCTGGCAAGGAGACCCGGGGCTGAAGGTTGAGCTGATGCGCTGCGTACTGAACCGCAAACGGCCACAAAAAATGGGGAGCAGCCGCATGGATCATGGACGTACGAGCGACGTCCATGACTATGCCAATGCGGCACTCAGCAATCCCATTTTGCTGTGGAGAGGCCGGAAGCGTGAAGGTCTGGCGGATGCCCTGTGCACGACAGAAGGCTCCCAGACAGGCAGAGGAAAACTCCCCGCCTCTGTCAGAGTGCAGACGCAGAACAGGAAAGTCCGAGCGGAAACTCTCTCTGAGCTGGAGACGAGCTGCGCGGATCCAGTCGATCAACACCTCAGTGACGTCATCCTTGCTGCGCAAGGGGAACGTGGTGATGTAACGCGAGTAGTTGTCAACCACCTACAGGAAGTAACGCTCGTGACCCTGGCCACGGACGCGGGCGGGGCCCCACACGTCCATGTGAAGAGACTGCAGTGGAGCCTCTGTCGGAGGAAACTCGGAGGAGTGAGGGGGGGCGCGCTGTCGCCCCTCGACGCAGGGGACGCAGGTAGGGGCAGGCCCCGGAGGTCGGGGAGGTAGGGACCGGGAGAGACCAGAGACAAGGACACGGGAGGCCATGCCTCGGAGACGAGGCAGGGAGGGGTGACCAAGGCGGTGGTGCCAGAGGAGAGTCTGGTGGGACAGGAGACGAGACGAGCAGGGCGCAGACTCAAGACCAGACCTGGACGCTGCAGCAAACACTTGACTCGACGCAGCTACCTGACCAGACTCAGCAACCGGAGGAGACTCAGTAGTCAGCGTGTACAGGCTCGACCCCAGCTGACGGGTAAACGTGGCCAAGTGTCGGCCCGTGCGAGCACACGTACAGTGGGTCACCAGCTGACTCGTAGGAGTGAACTGGTCAGCCCCCCTATCCTGTAGAACAGCTCCACTCACCAAGTTCGTAGAGAACGAGGGGAGGTAGAGACTTGATAGGGTGCCAGAGGGGGCTGCCGGGCACGGTAAGATAGTGGAGAAGTGGGCACGGCACGGCCCTCAGCATCAAAAGTAAGGACACTGGGGGTAGCCATGACTGTAGTGGCCTAGCAGGAAGTGAGCTCACTAGTCCGAGGAAGGAGGGCCGGGGAGTACCGGTAGGAACAGCAGCGGCTCGACAGTAGGGCAGCTCGGCGGCTCGGCGGCAGGGCGGCTCGGCTGTTGGGCGGCTCGGCGGCTCGGCGGCAGGGCGGCTCGGCTACTGGGCGGCTCGGCTGCAGGGCGGCTTGGCGGCAGGGCGGCTCGGCTGCTGGGCGGCTCGGCGGTAGGGCGGCTCGGCTGCTGGGCGGCTCTGCCGCAGGGCGGCTCGGCTGCTGGGCTGCTCGGTGGCTCGGTCGCTGGGCGGATGAGCGGTGACAAGGCCGCTAGGGGAGGGCGACGGGGCCGCAGGTGACGGCAACCGGGCCGTAGGTGGCGGCGAGGCCGCAGTGGCGGCTGCGTGGCCGCAGGTGGCGGCGACGGGGCCGCTGGTGGCGGCGACGGGGCCGCACGTGGCGGCGACGGGGCCGCAAAGGGCCTAGACGGGGCCTTGGAGGGGCCGTTAGGGGCCTAGACGGGGCCGTAGCGGGGCCGCAAGGGGCCTAGACGGGGCCGCGGAGGGGCCGTAAGGGGCCTAGACGGGGCCGTAGCGGGGCCGCAAGGGGCCTAGACGGGGCCGCGGAGGGGCCGTAAGGGGCCTAGACGGGGCCGTAGCGGGGCCGCAAGGGGCCTAGACGGGGCCGCGGAGGGGCCGTAAGGGGCCTAGACGGGGCCGTAGCGGGGCCGCAAGGGGCCTAGACGGGGCCGTGGAGGGGCCGTAAGGGGCCTAGACGGGGCCGTAGCGGGGCCGCAAGGGGCCTAGACGGGGCCGCGGAGGGGCCGTAAGGGGCCTATACGGGGCCGTAAGGGCCCGGAAAGGGCGCCGCGAGGGGCCGAAAGGGGCCGCGCAAGGGCCGTAAGGGCGACGCGAGGGGCCTTAAGGGGCCGTAAGGGCGGGGCGAGGGGCCGTAGAGGGCGGCGCGAGGGGCCGTAAGGGCGGCGCGAGGGGCCGTAAGGGCGGCCAAAGGGGCCGTGAGAGGGGCCACTAAGGGCGGCTCGAAGGTAGGGAGGGCACACAGAGCGCGACTCGGGCAGGAGTGAAGCGCGCTCCGGGCAGGAAAAAAAAAGTATCGTGGTGGGCCCTAGGTAGCGTTCCCACTAGGGAACCTGCTCGATACCATGATGAGAAACGAGAATGAATGCATTGAGCAGAATGAGGAGTACAAGTAGTAAACCCTAAAGTGTTGTACCCCATATGATTTGCCCCACTACAGCCTACACAGACTATAGCATATATGCCTGACAACCTGCTGCCAAGCACACTCTAGAGGTGGGATTGGCTGCAACTGTCCCGTCGGCCGCTTCCGTGTTGACTTCATGATCTGGCAAGTGGGACACGATGCCACGTGTCACTGCACGTCGGTCAACATTTCGGGCAAGTAATAATACCGCTGCAGCTGCTGCCGTGTTTTCTCTACCACAAAATGTCCCAAGGTAACCCCGTCGTGTGCCTCCTGTAATAGTAATTCCCGTACCAGTGTGTACCCTGGTACCCAGATGCGGTCGGTCCCGGCTTTTACGTAATAGACTCCCTTGGCTGCTGCAAACTACTGCGAATTTCCTCCTGTGAAGAATGGGTCCGTTTGATATCCGTGGGTAAATAATCCTGTCAGTAGCGGGCTGGTCTGGGCGGGTAGTATCGCGTGGATCTGGGCAGTGGGGCGGGTCAGTGCGTCGGCGATGTTCGAGGCTCCTTTTTTATAGGTGACTGTGTAGTGGAAGTTTGACTCGAGGAAATCGAGCCACCGAATCTGTCGTGGGTTGAGGTGGGGCTGTGCGCGGAGGTATTGTAGTAATTGCTGGTCTGTCCGTACTGTCACGTCTGCGCCGGTCAAGTAGCAGCGCCACACTTTGAACGCATGCACGATCGCGAGCATTTTGCGGTCGTATATTGGGTAATTTCGCTCGGGCAGATGCAGTTTTCGTGACTCGTATGCGATGGGCTGTAGGCCGTTGCCGAAATCCTGTAGCAGTACGGCTCCAATGGCGATGTCGCTTGCGCCTGTAATAACCTCGAAGGGGCGGTGTGGGTCGACGATGCGCAGGACGGGCGGTGAACAGAGAACATTTTTCAGGGCAGAGAAGGCAGCATGCTCTTTCTCCCCCCACGTAAAAACGACCCCCTTTCGCAGTAAATCCGTCAGCGGGGCAGTCAACTGTGCCATGTCACGGACGAACCGACGAACATAATTAACGAACCCTAAAAAACTCTGCAGTTCCGTGATGTTCGTCGGGGGATGCCACGCTTTGACCGTATCCAGCTTCTTTGGGTCCATTTCAACTCCAGCCTCCAAAATAACGTGCCCCAAAAATTCTAGTCTGTCCCGAACAAACTCGCACTTAGAGCCCTTGGTTAGTAATCGATGTTCCTCTAAAACTTTAAATACTGCTTCGAGATCCGCTAAATGCTGCTGCTTGTCGCGACTGTAGACGAGGATGTCTTCGAGGTAAACTATCACGCATTTATCTAAGAGTGGCCTAAACGCCTCGTTCATGGTCATCTGAAATGTTGCGGGCGCGTTGGTCAGCCCGAAGGGCATCACCGTGTACTCAAACGACCCGTACCTAGTCCTAAATGCTGTCTTGGCGCAGTCCGATGGTTCGACCTGATGGTAACC